CCCCTCCCTTTCGTTTCGGTGCAGCAGCGTTCACGATTGAGTTGGTTCTTTTCTTTCTTTCTTTCTTTCTTTGTTTAATGGTTCGGTGACAGTTGAAACTGCTTTCTTTCTCCTTCATCTCGGTGTGAGATATTTTCTTCCTCTCTTTCCTTTTCCCACAAGCATCTCTTTTTGAGATCTTTCCTCGCTTGCTGTCTCTCTTTCAACTCGATGTAGTGGCATTCAGCATACGTCGCCAAGCGGATCCATCTATTCCACTCGAAGATGAATTCTCTTCGCAATTTCGCGAACACGCCTTCTCAGTCTTTAGACCTAAACACAACTCTTGTATTATTCCGTAAAGACGTCTTTTCAGCCTACAGACCTGGACAAATTTCGCAGACACGTCTTCTAATTCTTTAGACCTGAACACAACTCTTGTATTTTCTGCAACCACGTCTTTTCAGTCTTTAGACCTGGACAAGATGGGCCGAAAAGACGTTTGCGGTATCTCTCTTCATTTTAATATATATATATATATATATATATATATATATATATATATATATATTTATATATATATATATAATTATTTATTTAAAAATATGATTCCAACTCGCGTCATAAGAGGTCTCATGTTTCAAAACAAGTGCCGAAAAATTCAATATAATTATTTGAATTAAATTGAGTTAAAGTAAGCTCTGTTCCATCTTCAAGTGAAATTTTTTTTGGAATAACGTATTTCTGAAATTTACGTGTTTTAATAATTGAAATCAAAATTTCCATGGTAACAGCTAGGGCGAATTGTTTAAATTGGGTAGGCGTGTGTTGGGTGTTAATAATAAGTATCAGTATAGAGTTACTTTCATAGATGTCAAGTCAGGGTAAGGTGGGGGTGTCTAAATTTGAAACGGAAGATGTTTTAGCCTAGTCTGGTTTACGTGTCTATGTAGATTTATTTATTTTTTTATTTTATTTCTTTATGAAAGGGATTTGTGCATAAAAAAACTGCCGTCTATTGTTTAATAGATTATTATTATTCAGGAACTTAATAATAATCTATTAAACAATAGACATGAGTTAACGGTTTTTTGTCGACATCATCAAATTCATGGTTTGAATAATTAGCTAAAACCAAGCATACAATATAATAACTTTTATAATCCATAGCTCAAATAAATAGTTTAAATACCCTACAAAAAAAAATAACCTTTTATGAAGTCGTCAAAAAACAAATGTTATGGCATTTTTTGTTTTTGTTGTTTTTATGCACAAATCCCTTTCATAAAGAAATAAAATAAAATAAATAAATAAATCTTTTAATTTCTGTGCAAGACTTGAAACGGTCCTTTAATGACATACGCTGCATTATTCGATCTTCTCTTGCCGAAGTTTTTTTTTTTGCGGGTCTGCCTGTTTTAAAAGCACTAAGTATTTTGCCAGTATCATTGTAGGATTTAACAACCCTGCCTACAACACTCTTGGAACGTTTCACTTTCTCTGAAATCTCTAATGGTGTGCTTTTCCTTGTGTAGCTTCACAATAGCTTGTCTCACAGAGTAATCAAGTTTTTTTGGCGTTTCGCCATGGTGCCGGCTGATGCAACGTTTACAAAATGACTAAGTAAGACTTATTCTTTAGAGGAAATCAAAAATTTGAATATAGCATACTGTTTACATTGTTTTTCTCAATTTTGTCCCTTACTTTTGGACGTTCCAAATTTGAAAATAAATAAATAATTGTTATAATTCTTTTCTATCCTTTGCAAATGATTCAAATTTTAGTATGTTATTATGGATGATAACGACTACCAGTTGTCAAAATTTCAGCTTTCCACAGTTGTTATTTCTAACAAATATTAGGTTTTAAAATTTTGTCCCTTAGTTTTGGACGCTACTGTATATATATATATATATATATATATATATATATATATATATATATATACCACACACACACACACACACACATATATTTATATATATATATATATATTGTTATGGGGGGGGTCCTCCCTTTTTCATATAAGTGGACTCGACCAGAATGTTACTTGGACTGCTGCCATTAAATACCCAGTGTCAGTGAGAATAGAGAGAGAGAGAAAGAGAGAGAGAGAGACAGAGAGACAGAGACAGAAACAGAGACAGAGATTGTGATTGAGTTGGAGGTAGAGTAATAGTGTGAGATAACCGCTTGTAGAAGTCAGTTACAAGCACGTAGACTCTAAGGAAGTCCTACTTCGAGACTGTATATATATCTATCTGTATTTGCTACTAACCTCGTTCCTGGACTTACTAACAGTATTACTCTTTGTATGATTGTGTAAATACATTTAATTTCTTATATTTAATTCTTGCAGTTGTCATTCATTGGAGACCGAATTTCATCTCGAATCCATAACATATATATATATATATATATATATATATATATATATATATATATATATATATATATAATAAAACTTTATTGCAACCCTTCATGAGCTTCCAATGCTTAGCTATGATTCATTAATGATGATCATGTCAGTTTCGCTTATGATCGATTTCATCACAATACTCCTGTTAAGCTTTGAGAGTAATTATTCATTCTTTTTGCTCGAAGTAGAGTCCAGTGGCGTTATAAAAACCTCGGAGAATTCCAGTAAGATATCTTTAATCATTTCTAAGATTCAACGGGTCAAAACTTAATCTAAAAATTAAATAATTTTCCTGATACACGAGTTGAGCAATTCTGCTATGACACCCTGTATCTCTCATACCACGCCTTGTCAATCCCCGAATAAATAACTTAGAAATGTCTTACTTTATTTTCTCGCTATGTCCACTTGTTTTGATAATAGTTTCAGTCACTCATATAATCTTATTTTTTGACTATTCCTGTAACTTTTCTTCTGTGAAACATATTTGATATTTAAATAACCTAACAATGACTGAAATGTTACCCTGCCACATAACCACTGACCTATTTTTAACCTTGTATTATAATGACCATGAATTGTGCAAGCTGTGATTGTATTGTTCAACAGAAACATGCCTGCATCTATCAGTCAATATTCACTTGTGCGTAGATTATTTCGTTAGCAGGAAACCTACCAACAGACTTTATCCAAGTACTGCCTGATGTTCTATCACGTGTTTGGACTTGCAGGCATGATCTTTATGAGGGATGTCAAATGGAAGCAACATACCTGTTGTAAATTTTTGTGTAAAGCCTGGCAAATCTGCTACTGAGATCTTTCGGGTGTTTTGTCAGGTGTTGATGAACATTCCTTTTTGTTTAAAGCAAGATTTTAAATGGCACACATGGTTCCAGACTGGTTGAGTATTCAAACTGACCAAACATCAGAAAATGCGGAAAATATATATATATGTATATATTCACCTCCAGATCCACTGTGAACATCTAGCTGGCCGTCAGCATCTTTGTTCAGACCAACGGATAATTTAAACACGATGTCGAGTGAATTTCCCAGTCGTCAAAAGACTGTGTGAGGACCCCTATTGAATGTTTATATACCGAGGCAATGTAATTGGAAGCTTGGAAATAAATATAATCTGTGAGTCATCATTTGGCAATTAGTCGCTACCATAGTTTACATTTTGTTGTTATCATCAACGCATTTCGGCCATTGTGTTCTTCCGTATTCGAACAACCAACGCTTAAAGAACGAGAGTTCTCTATTTTTTAAAAATTTTAATTAAAAGGTTTGTAAGCGATCTGGGATTGCAAAGGTAATGTTTGTCGCAGATTATTTCCAGAGAATAAATCACTAAGTTCAGATTCGAACATTGGAGGGGTTCAGAAAGAAATGCCGAAAACTCGATTCGCAGGTACTATCTCACAAATCACAATGCACGTAATCAGTCAGAAAAATAACCCATTCTCCAACAAAACGCGGTAGCCAAAATGCCCCAAATTCTTCCTACCGATTCGAGAACACCAACTGCTTTTATCTGCCGAGCATTTTTTTTTCCATTCGTCGACAGCTGGGAAAGGATGTTTAGTAGTTTGCATATCAAAATACTTTTATAGCGACTCTTGCGACGGACTTTTTAATTCAAATCTGCCATTTTCAGCATGTCATGCGGAATACGTGTCCTTTTGTTTGGTAAATAAGTAAATTTCGCCACATTTTCCGTCGTAGAATACACGCGCTGTCGCTTGGTTTGACGAGTTAAGTCGCCGTTTTCTTCGCGATAGGGTTCAAATCAAAATTTCCTGAAGGCTACCTGAATCAAGAAGCACCTGATGAAGGCAGGCCAGTACATGCCGGAAACATTTTGATAATAACAAACTAAACTAAGACAACCGTCCGCATGTAAATAATGTAATTCATTAAAATTTGGCGCATGCCCCGCAACATTTGGTTTGGTCGTCTTCCACTGGTCGAAAGGATATGCATTCTCAACTAGACGCACATTATATATTCTATAAAGTTTGCTCTAATTACATGGGTAAGTGTATTCCATATTGCAGGGCACAGGAATCAGTACTGCATCATGAAAGCTTGTTCCACACCTCAATTCGATCTTACGGTTGATCTTGGTTTGAAATAGCCAGTGACCAATGAAGCTAACAATTCCCAACTGCATTACTCTCTCTCACTCACTCACTCACTCACTCACTCACTCACTCACTCACACTATCTCTTTATATATATATATATATATATATATATATATATATATATATAAATAATTAAATAATCCATCGAGTCTAGAAGAAACCTCAACAGAATGAAGAAAGCACTGTTTCCTTCTATATTTGGGACTCATCAGCAGTGCGTATCCACTACCGAGAATTGAAACCAGGGCAGTTACGTTACCAGGCAAACGTCATACCAACTGTTCATCTGATCCAACGTTTAATGGACTGCTGATTGACGAAGCGATGACAGCTAGTATGGATGACCGAATTGTCAGAAATCTAAGTGAACGCATTTTTTTTTTGATTTTTAACTACTTAGTAATTTTTACAAATGATGATATGTTCCGCTATTATTTAATATTTCATTGCTT